GAACTTTAGACCTACAATAGAGGCACAGAAAACATTGTTTCACATAAGCTTTTCTAATGGTTGGATCTCTGGTTTGGGTTTTCTGTGATGCAAATATAACAGTTTCTTTTGTTCTTTCTCCCCACTGTTGTAATAAACAGTTCCACTGATAGATCCACCCCTGGTGATTGCTCTGGGGCCAATTGCAAGGTGTATGAACCAAGTTAACTGAAAAGAACTCTTGTTCAGACGCTTTAACTTCATCACTGTTCCGACCTTACACATCTCAGGTGTTTCTCCCGGACTCCCAGCTCTGACAAGTGCCACTGCCTTTCAGTTTTATTGAGTCAAGAGCCTGGTGGGCTAGGTGCTGGGCTGCTGGAGGCATACAGAAGCATATAGAATGGTTTTAAAGTGGGAGCTATTATCAGTTTGTTATTAAGCAGTTAGACGATGGGGGGCAGAGAAGGAAGCTGGGGTTAATTTTTGCCTAGGAGTGTTTCATGATAAAAGCAGTGCCTTAGGCAGATAAACTCTGGGGTGTGGTGCCCAGAATGAATTAGAAGTGGGGCAAGGTCTAAAAGTCTTCAGAGAGTTTTAAGGTGAGGTTCTGGGAGCGAAGGAGCATGAGACGCTAGGCTGAGGTGGTGACAGCAAGACCGGAAAGGTTAGGACAGATCCAAGCACTGTCGGGGCAGCCCTGTCCAACAGAAAGGTGGAAGCCACCAAGATGAGCTTCATATGTAATCTGAAAGTTTCCAGAAGATATACTTTGAAAGATTAAAAACAAGCAGGCAATAAGGTCAGTGAGATGGCTCAGTGAGTAAAAGGCCCTTGCTGCAGAAGCCTGGCAACCTGAGTTTGATCTCTGGAACCCATATTAAAGTGGAAGAAGAGAATCAATTGCACAAAGTTGTCCTCTGCCCTCCACACATGATTTATGGCATTCACACCTCCCCCAACATATCACACACAGTAATAAAAATAATGATAATAAACAGGCAAGTTAATTTTAATATATTTTATTGAACAGGATATGTTAAGAAGCAAAGCAGGAAAGACAGGAAAATTTATGGGAATGCAGGAAGGAAAAAGCCCCTCACTCCAGAGCTTAGAGCCAAAGATTCCAACACAGTTAACATTTGCTGTGAGGGCTGCAACAGAGACAATTTCTTTATATAGAAATATTATTTTTAAATATTCTATTTATTATTTTTATTTGTATGTGAATGAGTGTATTGCCTGAATGTATGTAGTACACCCATGTTGCACAGTGCCCACAGACATCAGAAGAGGGTGTTGGACCCCCTAGAACTGGAGTCATAGATGATTGGATGATTGTTAGCTGCTATGTGGGTGCTGGGAACTGAACCTGGGTCCTCTGCAAGAGCAGCCAGTGCTTTTAACTAAAAAGTGTTTTAGAAATACTTTTAAATAAGAATTTTTAAATAACAACAAACCAGGCTTGAAACCTGGCTATACATGACCCTGGGTAAACTCTTCCCCATCTCCTGGATGTTTTCTGGGAATTTCACTATTTCCAGACTATTAACTCTATAAACAGTAAAAATATCCTAACTGCCTGCATCCTGATTTAGACTTTTAGCTTATTGATTGAATCCTGTCAGGTGCCCCTCAGGAACAACCCTGTGATCTCATGAAAATTCCTTAGCAACTCTTTGAAGACAATAGATTTAACACCCCCCCCCCAAATGGCATGCATGGGTATGATGAAAACAGAGTGGTGACTCTTTCTTAAAAAGCGCCAACATGCTTTCCAGTGTGCCTTACTTTTTTCCTTAGGGTCTCTCTTTTTATAACCCACAATTTTAAACCTGTTTGAAATGTTTTTTAAGGGGCTGAGGAGATGGCTCAGAGGTTAAGAGCACCTGCTGCTCTTTCAAAGGACCTGAGTTCAGGTCCCAACACCCATGTAGGGAAGCTGGCAACTGTCTGTAGCTAGCTCAAACGCAGGAGATCCAATGCCCTCTTCTGGCCCCTGGGGGCACTTGCATGTGAGCTTACACACACATACACACACACACACACACACACACACACACATCCCTACCTGAATAAAAATATCTTAAAACATGTCTTTTAATAAATTTTGACTCTGTTGCATACTGCTTCATCCTGAAATTCTTTTTCTATGGTGTAGCCAAGGATTTTGTGTTAGTGGTAATCCCCAAAAGATTCGGAGAACTCCTTAGGCTGAAGGCCACAGTGTGGACCTGTATCTCTGTCTCTGTAGCCACTGACAAAAAAATAGTTTTAATAGATGTCATTACATAATTATTATCATTTAAAATTTTTATTTATTAGTATTGTGTGCATACGATGCGTGTGTGTGGCAATCTTGCCATGGTGTACATGTGGTCAGAGGATAACTTCATGGAGTCAGTTCTCTTCTTCCACCTTTACGAGGGTTCCAGAACTTGAACTCAGGTTGTCAGGCTTATGTAGCAAGTGCCTTTACCCAGTGAGTCATTTTGCCAGCCCCAATATAAAATTATTAATCAGTTAAATTCAATTTTAATTTTGAGCACAAAGTGTTTAAAATACAGTGTGTAATTTGCATATCTCAGTTCATTATAATACATGTCATATGCCACTGGATACCTTTTTTTTGCTCAGTAGAGTTTTGCAGGAATAAATGGCAGAAAAAAAAAGAAGTCTGAAATTTGGGACTATAAATTTAGTATATTTTGATATTGATTTTTACACAATATATTTTAAGTGCTTGAAATCATTAAAACTAAGTACTTAAGAGGACTGGAGGGATGGCTAAGCAGTTAAGAGCACTGACTGCTCTTGCAAAGGATCTGAGTTCAGTTCCCACCCTCATAGCATCTAACAACTGTTTGTAACTGTAGTTCCAGAGGACCTGACACCCTCTTCTGGTCTCTGTAGGCATCACACACAGGTGCACTTACATACATGTAGGCAAAGCTCATAAAATAAAAAATTCTAATCTTTTAAAAATTAGACATATCTTGGTGTGCAAAAATCTAATTTTAAAAATATTTTATTTATTATTTTTATTTTATGTGTATGCGTGTATTGCCTGTGTGTAGGTAAGTGCACCCGTGTCCTGCAATGCCTGATTCCTGGGAAAACAATATTG